GAGAGAGACAGGGAGAGAGAGAGAGAGAGAGAGGGAGAGAGAGAGAGAGAGAGAGAAAGAGAGAGAGACAGACGGGGAGGGAGAGAGAGAGAGAGACGGGGAGGGAGAGAGAGAGAGACAGGGAGAGAGAGAGAGAGAGAGGGAGAGAGAGAGAGAGAGAGAGACGGGGAGAGAGAGAGAGAGAGAGAGACGGGGAGAGAGAGAGAGAGAGAGAGACGGGGAGAGAGAGAGAGAGAGAGAGACGGGGAGAGAGAGAGAGAGAGAGAGACGGGGAGAGAGAGAGAGAGAGAGAGACGGGAGAGGGAGAGAGAGAGAAGGAGAGAGAGAGAGAGAGAGAAGGAGAGAGAGGGAAGGAGAGAGAGAAGGAGAGAGAGGGAAGGAGAGAGAGGGGGAGACAGAGAGAGAGAGAGGGAGGGAGAGAGCAGAGACCTATAGGGAGAGGAAAGAGAGGACTGTATATATGAAACATGGCAACATTGTGTCATTAAAAAGATAGCTAGCTTACAAAATGATAGATAGGGAGATTGATTGATTATGGAGACGAATGTAGCAAAAGTTAGAGAAAGGAAGAAATTGTGTATAAATAATAGCAACCGAAGAGATTGATACATAGAAAGATAAACAGATATAAGAGATATTTATACGAGGTAGGAAACGTTGGATTGAGAAAGAAAGAAGAGAGAAGTGTATATATAATAGCTACATAGATAATAGATGATAGATAGATAGATAGATAGATAGATAGATAGATAGATAGATAGATAGATAGATAGATAGATAGATAGATAGATAGATAGATAATAGATAGATGATAGATAGATAGATAGATAGATAATCGATATTATTCTGACACTTGCACTTTCCATTCTCATTATAATCCTAACAAATGTTCTTTCCATATCTCTGAATTCGTTCTATTGATAGATAATTCTCTGGCAGAAGAAGAAGAAGAAGAATAAAGGACACCCCGGTACTCACAGATCTCTGTAACACAACAAGTGTTTATTGCTGGAAATAAAGGACACAGACATTCAGGAAGAGGTCAGGAATTGGTCAGTTTGCAGGATACAGAGAAAATAATTCGCAGATTCAATAAATAATATTCTTGGTGGTGATGATAAGAGAAGATCATAAACTGGGCGAATGTCACTTCTTCTCCTCATACACACATTTTTTTGTATAATCTGCTATCGGGAGATAATTCTGGAAATAATAACAATAAAAAGCAGAGAGATCCAGTGAACTGAACTTTAAATATTTGGGATAAAAATGTCTCTAAATAACAGAATTACTTTTTTTATATAGAAAAGAACATTTAAATAATCCCGCCACAATTCTAGAAGGATAAACTTGGTCCATATAACGTTTTTGGTGAATATTTTGGGGCGAACCTACCATGTTTTTGTATTTTTTATGTCTCCGTGTTCAAGTATATTTTTAATGTTCTTCATCTTACAGATGGCAAAT